TTTGAGAAAAAGTCATGTCCCTTAGAGAATACACGCAAAATGTGAAAAATTGACATGCCTCCTTTAATCGCAAAAATACGTCATGATACCATTGTCAAAATGAAATATCGTGGCAACTAAATTTGTAGAAAATATATTCAGGTAGAACATATTAAAATTTGAAAGAAAATTGATCAATATTTACAGAGATAAAATCAATTTTCTATAAATCTGCTGACGTCATAATATGCAAATTGAAATTTTGAGTTCGGAGGCCATTATGATGACGTCATGAGTTAATTGAGGGTCAAATGAGACATGAAATCATATCTCCAACTCATATTCTATCCAAATATGAGAATAATTTGGGGGTTCTGTGGACTTCCTAAAGAGCTATAATGGATTTTGTATAGGCATGTTTTTGCCCATATATGCTATGTATTACAAGATCTCGCGCGTACGGACGTGTATTTTAAAATGACGCTAATTCCGTCAATAATGGTCATGAAAAGATAAACATGGTATCAAATTGTTCGGAAAAAGTTAAGAAATATCCTGTCAAAAATTCGGGTTGGGGAATTATTTTTCGTTTGGCCGCTACGAACGAAAACGTGCAAAAAATGCGTGTTTTGCGCGATTTTTATGAAATGCTTAAAATGCCCTGAAACGTGTGCAAACAAAATTTGGGACGAAATGGAGCATTTTGAAATTTTGATGCGCGCGTACGCGCGCGTCGAGGTGCGCGCGTGGAATATGTTGACATTTTTAATTGACCTTTGACCTGAAGTTGATGTATACCAAATATGGTTTTTTTTTTATGACTCGTGATCGAGATATGATAATGACCAGATTTTTACAAAATGGCGCCTGGATGACGTCACGATGACCCCATGAACTTGAAAAAGGTTTCGGGAACTTGATATTATAGGGCCTAATGACTAACAGAAATTCGAAGGAAATTGACCTTGTCGATTTCGAGTAAACGTATACACAAAAAAGTGTACGGAAGAAATAAAAAAAATGTGAGTGTTTGTACAATTCCAATTAAATTACTAGAATTTAAATCGTCACGAGGACGATTAAGGTGGTCTGTCTTCAAGTCTTATGATAGATTATAATACTTACTATATTGAGAAAGGGAGAAGTTATATAGACATGTAAACAATGATGATCATCATGATGATCATGATGATGATGATCCTGATAGTAATGGTGATGACGATGTTGATGATGATGATGATCATCATGATGATGTTGATGATGATCATCAACAGACCATGATGACATCTGATTGAAAAAAATGAGGGAACATTTAGATAGCATATAGTCTCAGCTACAACATACTCCAAAATCAACAAAAACCAAACGGAAATAACGGCGATATTGCTCGCAAAAGACAGGAATGTAGAATCCAGATTTGAGAAAAAGTCATCTCCCATAGGGACTACACTCAAAAAGTAATGGATCAAGTGATAATAGGGGAATAATAAAGTAAACATGGTTGTTTATAACATTATTTGTGATTCTACGTGTTTTAATAAGCAAAGGAAAAGGTACAGTGAAAGGTCAAAAAGAAAAAAAAGTGAAGAAAAAAATTGTTGGAGACGCCCGGACTCGAACCAGGGACTTCGAGGTCGGAAGTCAAGTGCGTTACCGATGTACCAAAATATTTCCCATAGAGATTACACGTAAACGGAAAATGGAATTATCAAATCCCACTTTGTAAGTGAAATATGAGCATGATCCCGGCATCTGATCGAAAATTAAAGGGCACACTTACGATAGCATATTGACTCAGCTACAACATACTCAAAGCTCAGCGTAAACGAAGATAAAACGACGGAGATATTGCTCGCGAAAGACAAGAATGTAGAAACCAGTTTTGAGAAAAAGTCATGTCCCATAGAGAATACACGCAAAATGTGAAAAATTGACATGCCTCCTTTAATCGCAAAAATACGCCATGATGCCATTGTTCAAATGAAATATCGTGTGAAATACATTCGTAGAAAATATTCTCAGCTAAAACATATCAAAATTTGAAAGAAAATTGATCAACATTTACAGAGATACAATCAATTTTCCAAAAATCTGCTAACGTCATAATATGCAAATTGAAATTTTAAGTTCGGAGGCCATTATGATGACGTCATGAGTTAATTGAGGGTCAAATGAGACATGAAATCATATCTCCGACTCATGATCTATCTAAATATGAAAAAAATTGGGGGTATCTATCCATTCTGAAGAGTTAAAATGAATTTTGTATAGGCTTGTTTTTGCACATGTAATGTGGATAGGGATAATGCAGATCCGCGTGTGCTGTAAACTTTGACGGACGCTCATTGCGTTATCACTGGTCAGAAAAAGGTGAACAAGGTATCAAAATGCTTGGAAAAATGTGGTTGATATGATAGAGAAAATTTGGCGTTTCCATGTTGTAAAATGTCAGTACGCGCACTTACGCGCGGAAACGCGCGCAAAAAAGTGCTCTCGCGCAAAATCTTGAAAATGCTTACAATTGCCTGAAACGTGTGCAAAAAAAATTTGGAACGAATTTGAGCATTTTAAAATTTTAATGCGCGCGTACGTGCGCGTCGAGGTGCGCGCGCAAATTTTGTTGACATTTTTAGTTGAACTTTGACCTGAAGTTGATGTATACCAAATATGGTTTATTTTTGAAGACTCGTTATCGAGATATGATAATGACTTGATTTTTACAAAATGGCGCCTGGATGACGTCACGATGACCCCATGAACTTGAAAAAGGTTTCGGGAACTTGATATTATAGGGCCTAATGACTATCAGAAATTTGAAGGAATTTGACCAAGTCGATTTCGAGTAAACGTATACACAAAAAAAGTGTACGGAAGAAATAAAAATAAACTAGAAATTTAATTCGTCATGGGGACGAATTAGGTGGTCTGTCTTCAAGTCTTATGATAGATTATAATATTTACTATATTGAGAAAGGAAGAAGTTATATAGACATGTAAACAATGATGATCATCATGATGATCATGATGATGATGATCTTGATAGTAATGGTGATGACGATGATGATGATCATGATGATCATGATGATGTTGATGATTATCATCAACAGACTACGATGACAGACTTAAAAAATGAGAGAACATTTAGATAGTATATAGTCTCAGCTACAACATACTCAAAAATCAACAAAAATCAAGCCGAAATAACGGCGATATTGCTCGCAAAAGACAAGAATGTAGAATCCAGATTTGAGAAAAAGTCATCTCCAATAAGGATTACACGCAAAAAGTAATGGATCTAGTGATAATAGGGTAATAATAAAGTAAATATGGTTGTTTATTACATTATTTTCGATTGTACGTGTTTTAATATTCAAAGGAGATGGTAGAGTGAAAGGTCAAAAAGAAAAAAAAGTGAAGAAAAAAAATTGTTGGAGACGCCCGGACTCGAACCAGGGACCTCGAGGTCGGAAGTCAAGTGCGTTACCGATATACCAAAACATTTCCCATAGAGATTACACGTAAACGGAAAATGGAATGCACAAATCCCACTTTGTAATTGAAATATGAGCATGATCCCGGCATCTGATCGAAAAATAAAGGGCACACTTGTGATAGCTTATTGTCTCAGCTACAACATACTCAAAGTTCAGCGTAAACAAAGCTAAAACGACGGAGATATTGCTCGCAAAAGACAGGATGTAGAATCCAGTTTTGAGAAAAAGTCATGTCCCATAGAGAATACACGCAAAATGTGAAAAATTGACATGCCTCCTTTAATCGCAAAAATACGCCATGATGCCTTTGTCAAAATGAAATATCGTGTTGACTGTATTTGTAGAGAATTGTCTCAGCTAGATCATATCAAAATTTGAAAGAAAATTGATCAATATTTACAGAGATACAATCAATTTTTCAAAAATCTGCTGACGTCATAATATGCAAATTGAAATTTTGAGTTCGGAGGCCATTATGATGACGTCATGAGTTAATTGAGGATCAAATGAGACATGAATTCATATCTCCAACTCATGCTTTTTCCAACCATGATATAAAAATTGGGGGTCAATGGACTATCTGAAGAGCTATTTTGATTTTTAAAATGGCATGTTTTTGATCAAATTTGCATTATATTGCCCATAGCAGCACGCGCGGATTTTGAACTTTGACGCGCGCTCACGGCCTTATGAAAGGTCAAGAGTGACTGAAATTAATGTAAATTGTCATTTACGGTAAGAGGAATCTAAATCATGTAAAAAAAATTAAATTTGACTTTTTACGCGCGCTGTGAGCGCGCGCAACGCGCGCGGGGACACTTACGGACGGAAAATTTTGAAATGCTTAAAATGACCTGAAACGTGTGCAAACAAAATTTGGGACGAATTGGAGCATTTTAAAAATTTTAAGCGGGCGTACGTGCGCGTCGAGGTGCGCGCACGGATTTTGTTGACATTTTTAGTTGACCTTTGACCGGAAGTTGATGTATACTAAATATGGTTTATTTTTGATTACTCGTTATTGAGATATGATAATGACCTGATTTTTACAAAATGGCGCCTGGATGACGTCACGATGACCCCATGAACTTGAAAAAGGTTTCGGGAACTTCATATCATAGGGCCTGATGACTAGCAGAAATTTGAAGGAAATTGACCAGGTCGAGTTCGAGTAAACGTATACACAAAAAAAGTGTACGGAATAAATAAAAATAAATAAAGAATAAAGAATAAAGAATAAAGAATAAAGAAAGAAAATTCTAACGAAATCAATAGGTGATCTGTCATCGACAGACCACCTAATAAAGAAAGAATAAAGAATAAAGAAAGAAAATTCTAACGAAATCAATAGGTGATCTGTCATCGACAGACCACCTAATAATAAAGAAAAATCTTGACGAAATCAAAAGGTGATACGTTGACTTCGTTACGTATCACCTAATAAGTGCCCTAATAATATGCTATTGAAAGTGAAAGGTGTGGTAATATCATCTAAAACGACCTTTTTACCACGCTCTTCCCTAATAGTCCATCCAAAGCCATTTGAAGTTCGTCTCGTCGGTGGGTCAAACAATGCTGAAGGCACAGTAGAGATCATGCACGATGGATCCTGGGAGACAATCTGTGATGTTGGCTGGGATCTGAGGGACGCGAGGGTGATTTGCAGAATGCTTGGGTTTGATGGAGCCTTGGACGCACCGGGATCTGCACGGTTTGGTCAGGGCTCTGGTAGTATTCTACTAAAGTATGTCAATTGTGACGGAACTGAAGACAGCATAGCTGATTGTGCTCTTGCAGGGGTTGAAAGTTACTCTTGCGGCCATACAAGGGATGCAGGCGCTCTTTGTCATTCGGGAGGTAGGTTTTTTTTAAGGCTAGTCGCTAGAGTAAATATGTCTAATTAAATCACCTGCATATTCCCCCGAGAGGTATACTTTGCATGCCCTGTAGTCAGTCAATGAGGTCGGCCGCAAAAAACTGACTTCCGCAAACAAATTATTGGGGAGTTTCCTTACTTCGACATTTCACCTTTATTTTTTGTTTAATAATAAAGAGATTGCTCTTCTCCAAATATTTCTGATCACGTGTAGTGCTCTAAACCAATCCATGTACTGGCATTTTTTAGGAGTGCATGATTACATTTCCTTGTAAGAGTATATACATTTTATTTGATAAACATATTCTGCTTTTCATCCTAACCGTTCATTAAACACATCAGAGCAATTTCAAGTTCGTCTTACCAATGGGACCACCGATTCAGAAGGCAGAGTGGAGGTTTTGTATAAGGGAAGCTGGGGAACTATTTGTGATGATAACTGGGTTCTAAGAGACGCAAGAGTAGTTTGTAAAACGCTTGGATTGGACGGGGCTTGGTAGTGCTACGCCCGGTCCCGAAAGCGGTAAAATCGTATTTTTAAATATTGGAGTGCAAATACTAGTTTTCAGCCAAATTGAGTCATAGAGATGTTACGGGGAGGTATTGCGATAAAAATACCTTCAATTGGTCCTATACATAGGGATGCTCATTACGGTTACGCTCAGGTTACCATTACACCGGTTTAGCTTTTTTATTATAATTGAAAATAGTTTAAATATATAACATCAAACGATTTAGTTTCTTTGGTATACTTAGTTTTTGTCGATCGGTAACACGTCAGTTACCTGTGTTAATAAACATACAAAACCCAATTCACCACTGTTTGTGTTGACCAATGGTTCATGTATGGGTTCTTTTTTATACGAATATCAATCTTCATGAATAAATCTTTGGACACACGTTTGTCAATTATAAAAATCCTTTTCATCCTGACCGTCTAGATCCATTTCAAGTTCGTCTCGTCAATGGATCAAACGATGCTGAAGGAAGAGTAGAAATACTTTACGATGGATTCTGGGGAACTATCTGTGATGACTGGTGGGATATAAAAGATGCGAGGGTTGTTTGTAGAATGATGGGGTTCAACGACGCAATAGCTGCGTCTATTTCTGCAAGGTTTGGTCAAGGACCTGACCATAGTCTTCTGACATCTCTCGGCTGTAGGGGAAATGAAGATAACTTGGCAGATTGTTTTCATGCAGGTGTAGGACGTTCTCACTGTAGTCATAGTAGTGATGCCGGCGCTTCTTGCTCCTTGGGAGGTAAGATTTTAATATGGAAATTCTGATCGTCATCCGTTTCTATCCCGTCTGGATAGGCCTATGCTTCTTGAATTGATACTTTTCTGGTGTTAATATAGATGAGATTTTTATATTTATAACACTGTCAGATTGAGATATGTTTTACAAATTTCTACATGTGTCCCTGATTAGGCATTTTCTTTTAAGCTGTGGCTAAAGTGCTCTATAGCGCGTACTCCTAACATGTGTTTGTCAATTGTCACCAAGTATTTCCAACATACCGTTCTATGAAATAATTTGTTCAGAGTTGCGTTGATAATCGCTAAACATTTCTAATAATTTTCTAATTTGACCAATATGAATCTGTATTCATATGCTTTACATTTCAGTTCAACTTGTCAATGGAGCCGGTGGATATGAAGGAAGAGTTGAGATACTACACGAAGGGTCTTGGGGGACTGTATGCGACGATTTCTGGGACCTGGACGACGCTAAGGTTGTATGTCGACAGTTAGGATTTGATGGTGCTGTGGCTGCTCTGCCCCGTGCCAGATTTGGTCAAGGCTCTGGTGATATCTTTCTGGATGGTGTTAAGTGCAACGGGACAGAAACCAGCCTCAGATACTGCCAGCATAAGGGGATAGGTGTTCATCATTGTACACACGAGGGGGATGCCAGCGTTATATGTAAACGTGGAGGTAATATCATAGAACCGTCATTTACACACACAAAACAATGTAATCAGCAGAATACAGATCGTCCGAAAAGGAGGACAATTATATTATACGTATGTAAGCACGATAATAAAACAACCGGGTAACGTCGTTATAAAAAGAAACAAGATTACATTCACAACACAGCCCCCCCCCCCCCCCTCTGAAATAAAGTTTGTATTTTAATCCGTTAATCGAAAATTAAGAAATCTTGCGGTTTATGAAAGCTCACGTCGCTTGATTTTGTAAAAACTCATGTCACAAAAGTGAACATTATATGGATCATTTTAAGTAAAAAGAATAGACTTGTTTTTATTCAGTATTTTTACATTTGTTATAGCTGTGTTTATTAATTTTCTTTTCCATGAATATTTATCGGTACAGAAAGCCGAATTTATTGTTTCGAAACATCTTTCTAGGTTTGAGGACTTACTCGGACATGATCACCTCTGATGAAATACCGCCAACGTACACAACCAAGCTAGTGCCCAATGGACACGAAACTACAATAGTTCCACCAAGACAACAAGGACACGAGGTCATTACCACGACATATCCGCTTAACACAAGTAAAATTGGAAATTTAAAATCAACTGTAAACCCAATTCTACAAGACGATCTCCGGATGATAATTTTATTTTGGCTGTTTATTTTATCATTTAGCATCATTCTAATCGCTTTGTTTGGGTACTGTATTTATAGGTATACAAAGAGAATGACTGCTAGGAATTTAAATACAGAAATATATATGGACGCGACGACTATATCATCAATGCACGCTCTGTCAGTTGGTTCTGGTTACCAAGACTTGAATGCTCCACCTAAATTACATGAAAGACTTGAAAACGATGTTTGTGGTCACCATTATGAATCAAATATAAAAGATATAAAAGACAATTTAGAAGATTTCCATGAAAATGCGGGCATGAAAACGGTTTACCAAACACCTCAAAGTGATGAGGACTGTGACGTAGACGGAAATCTTCTTCCGAACACAGAAAGACCTTTGAAAAATGGAAAGTCGGTATCGGATAAGAGAAATCATGTTGGCAAAACGGATATGCCAAAACCTCCTGATGAAAATGCAGAAACGGTGTCTTTGCCTCAATGCACAAAGGTAAACACGAAACATGATTATATGGAAATGAAAATAGTATACCAAAAGCCGAAAACGGGGACGGACGTAGATCTTGATGGATACCTCCTTCCAAACACAAAAACATGTTAAATGATGGTGATTCAGTAACGAAAATAACGACAAGGAATCGAACGCGGAAATTTGTTGTACTGCAGGTGAAGGGAATATCCCCTTACTGCAAGATACGACACATGTATAGAGAGAGATACACAAGTACATGGATATGAAAATTGTTAACCAAAAATCCGCAACAAAAAACGACATAGATCTCGATGGGTATCTTCTTCCAAGTGCTTAGTCTAGTTTTGGACCCTTTTCATTGTTTTCTTCGCCGACTATACGCTATGATCCGAGTGGTGGCGCGATCCCGGTTTTCGGGATCGCGCCACCACTAACGCGTATAGTCGGCGAATAAATAAATCAATAAAAAGGGTCCAGAACTGGACTACCAAGTGCTATGCTACAGACTGGTACTCTCATAAATAAAAGCAGAGCAGAAGAAGATGGACAGTCCGATGAAAACAGGGACAATTAACTTTGGATGTGTATGTTAAGAGAACCTGAAGCAAACTCGAGGATTCCAGTTTGCTAACACATGAAACAATATGACAGCTATTCATGTACATAAACCACCATTTAAAGAAATACACTAAAAGAGGTTAAAAAACTTATTAATATCGTATATATAAACCATTTGTTTTAAATTTAGAAGAGGATAATCTGTCATGCACAAAATCTAAATATATCCGAACTTGTCAAGTGACCATCCTGTTACAATGTATGTCTGACTATTTTTTCAACAACCAAGTTATTACTACATTTTATTTCAATGTATTCTTTTTAATTTAGTTTTTTGTTAAAGAAACTTCCTTTGTATGGAGTTAAAGACATTAAGCTTATTTGGATTCAATCATATTTATCCAAAATAACCTAACGTACATCTGTCAAAGGGACCTTGTCTGACATTACTAATGTCAGATCTGGCCTTCCGCAAGGCTTGATTATCGGGCCTCTTCTGTTTTCGGGATTGTTGAAAAGTGCCACATTATGATGTACGCCAACTATACAATATTGTACTACAATGGGGAAGATATAAAAGACATTGAATCTGTATTGATTAAGGAGCTTGAGCCAATAAATGGCTGACACAAAATCCTCTCAGGTTAAATTAATCAAAAACTCAATACATGGTTTTGGGCTCCCATAGAAAACTTACAAATGGTGGTGATATAATTCTCGCTGTTGACAATCATGAGCTGGGAAGAGTAACCACTTATAAATATCTTGGCGTTTGGATGGATGAGCCATTAACTTGGCAAAAACATGTTGAAGAAACAATGAAGATTGGTTCCCGACTTGCACTTTTCGATAGACTCAGAAAATACCTCACGGTTGACAACTTTAAGGTCTTAGCTAACTCGCTTACATTTACCTTACTTTGACTATTCTAATAATTCATAGTCCACATGTGGACAATACTTGAAAGACGGTCTAATAAGACAACACAAGAAAATGGCCCAGTTGTTCTTTAAAGTCAATTACTCTACTCTCATTGAACAGGCATATGATAAACAAATGGATTTCGATTTAAGAAAGGTGGCAATTTCACATATGCGAAACAGTGCACAGTGTACTCCAAGGGGGAGCACCAATTTACCTCACTGAACTTTTGTACGATCAGGAAATGTACACTCACGCCGAACAAGAAATACAGTGCACAATGGTGTTGTGGTGCCACATGTCCGCACACAGGCTGGTAAAAAATGCCTTTTCCCATAGTGCATCCGTTCTCTAGAATTGGCTGGAATGTGGGATTCGGGGCGCTGTTTGTAGGCCGTCCTTTGTTACTTCATATTGGAGAATCAAAAATCAGTATATGATTTGGTATAAAAACAAACCATTTTTTTTTAAAATAGGGTAGGTGTAGGGAATTTGAGACCGTAGGGAATTGGAAACCACCAAGCTTGAACCCATCACTGTCTATCCGTGTTGGCTCCAATATTGCTATAGCGCGATATGTGGCCTTTCACAACACTACTGCATATATCCAATTCATTTCGAAGACTACAATGCGTTCTTTTACCGAGAAAATTGGTAGAATTGACCAAGATAAGCAATTTTTATTGTAAATTCTTGCTCTGATATAAAAACACAATTTCCACTGAATGTTGCGGTGTATGCAGGTACTTAGGGGTGGCTCTTAAAAAGTAGTTTTAAAAGGAAGTTTATGAAGTTTGCCAACCATGACAGAAAACTTATGGCCATTGTGTGTTGTGAATGGGGCAATGTAGGCAATGGGGGACACCAGGTCCAAGATGGGGACCAGTTGTTCATTTCATGTTGAAAGGCACTATCACGAACATATTTGGTTGTTTCACCATTTTAATTTGAATGCATTTTATTTCAAAGATAAAAGTGAGTTCTGGTTTTTAAAAAAAAATGAATTCTCTCAGAATCAAACTAAACTTACACTGAATTTTCAAGATTACAATTAAATGTCATTTGCCAAACAATTTCGGAAGAAAATGTATACTGGCTGAGTAATGAGTATAGAAATATTAGGAAATCAATACTAGCCCCGATACCATTTGTGTAGTCCCAAATACATCTTTCTGTGTACAGTGCTTGTAACTTTACCAAGACTGGGTCAAATTTATTATGATTTTGATGACTCCAGAACTTTGCAGTACACACCAATACTTACATGCTACATAATCATTTTTTTCTGATCCATTCCACACATTTTTTTTTCACAATGCAATCGGATGACCAGAACTCACCTTTATCTTTAAGAAGTTGTTTCTATGCTGTGAGTTTGATCAATGTAAAAGTCACTTTGCCAGAACATTATTCTGAAAGTATTTAAACATAATTTAAAGCACCTTTATTACTGTTAACAAAAAACTACGGAAATATTTCTGGCCATGCACAATCGTTTCAAAATAACAGTAAGTTCATTGGATGCATGTTTCTTTTTCAAAGAGTGTTTGAACTAACTATAACAATACAATTTTTATTCAAATTGTATTTTAAATATCTTGATTTGTAACTGTCCATAATTACCTACACATGTAGGTAATGAAAGACATTTGGTGATGGGTCATTAATCCCTGTTATCTTATTAATCAGTTACATCATGACCACAATTTTGTTACCAAATAATGTTTATGTAAATCATGCAAATGTGCTTAAGAGATGGTTCATTGAAATGTGGAAAATGGGCAAATTACACCTCAACAGATTGCTGAGAACATTAACAAAATGAGCAAAGTACTTTTGAAGCCCTCACTGTTGTGAGGAATAAATTAAATGCAATTTTGTTACCCTTTCCTGAACCCACTCACTAAGTGAATTGACGGCGTTATTTTACATGCGAAACGATGACGTCACAATATGAACAACCTACATCACACATTCAGGACAATGTTTGACACCCATTGCGATTTTCAGATATGGGTTAACGTTGTTTGTATATTTATCGCCAGGGGTGATATTTCCTCTATTTTTGGCATTTTTGATGAGACACACTGAATAAATGATACTTTCTACAAGTGTTTGTTTGATTTTTATATTTTTTCCCGTCACATTTGAGCATAAAAATCAGAAAAATAATCACATATTCTGAGCGCACTTCAGCGTGTATGTGTCTGATCTTGGAAGGCTAAGGACATTTTGCATGCTGACCTAACGACTCTTTTGGAGTAGAATAGGCTACAAATTTACATAGAATTGTCCAGATATTCATTACAAAAATATGTGAATAGGCTGATTAATTTACATTTTTGATAATTCAAGTCGTATAGGACCTGATAAACCGAGAGAAACAGATCAGTTTGGTTCGTGATTTACGGCTAGCTCGAGCGCCGGGCTACGGGCTAGGCTGGCTAGCAAGCTGCGCTAGATGTGATGCACGCATAGAGGTCAGTGTATTGCACACATAGTACATGCACAGAGTACGCACGCACAGCTACTAGCTACGGGAAACTTGAACGCTACATCGACGATATATTCAGGATATTCACTCGCTTTTTGGAAGTTATATACCATTTATCTAGACTAACGTCAGATTAAGAACCAAAACCATGCCATGGAGGAGCCTTCTGGAGTATACTCAAGTATGTTTTCGTCCATATCCATATTTCCAGGGGATTTTGATGAAGGTAAACAGGGTTAGGTATAAATGGGTACGGTACTCGAGAGTCAATGCAATACATGTGAATCACACACAAACTGCATCTCGCACCGTCCTCAATCTTTTAAGCTGACCGGCCCGCTGTTCATATTGTGACGTCACTTAAAAAATCAGCTGACTTACGATGTTTTCGGGGCGTTGAGTGGGTTGATTTTTCGTCAAGTTCAATCAACTTTTATATATTTTGCTTGACTGTACAAGTTACACAAATGTAATGATTTTACTCAGTGTAATTTTTC